ATCACTTAAATAAAATAAAAAAAGTCAGAATTGAGAGTTTTAATCACTTAAATAAAATAAAATAAGTCTGAATTGAGAGTTTTAATCACTTAAATAAAAGAAAAAAAGTCAGAATTGAGAGTTTTAATCACTTAAATAAAAGAAAAAAGTCAGAATTGAGAGTTTTAATCACTTAAATAAAAGAAAAAAAGTCAGAATTGAGAGTTTTAATCACTTAAATAAAAGAAAAAAGTCAGAATTGAGAGTTTTAATCACTTAAATAAAAGAAAAAAAGTCAGAATTGAGAGTTTTAATCACTTAAATAAAAGAAAAAAGTCAGAATTGAGAGTTTTAATCACTTAAATAAAAGAGAAAAGTCAGAATTGAGAGTTTTAATCACTTAAATAAAAGAAAAAAGTCAGAATTGAGAGTTTTAATCACTTAAATAAAAGAAAAAAAAGTCAGAATTGAGAGTTTTAATCACTTAAATAAAAGAAAAAAAGTCAGAATTGAGAGTTTTAATCACTTAATTAAAAGAAAAAAGTCAGAATTGAGAGTTTTAATCACTTAAATAAAAGAGAAAAGTCAGAATTGAGAGTTTTAATCACTTAAATAAAAGAAAAAAGTCAGAATTGAGAGTTTTAATCACTTAAATGAAAGAAAAAAGTCAGAATTGAGAGTTTTAATCACTTAAATAAAAGAAAAAAAGTCAGAATTGAGAGTTTTAATCACTTAAATAAAAGAAAAAAGTGAGAATTGAGAGTTTTAATCACTTAAATGAAAGAAAAAAGTCAGAATTGAGAGTTTTAATCACTTAAATAAAAGAAAAAAGTCAGAATTGAGAGTTTTAATCACTTAAATAAAATAAAATAAGTCTGAATTGAGAGTTTTAATCACTTAAATCAAAGAAAAAAAGTCAGAATTGAGAGTTTTAATCAGTCAAATCAAAGAACAAAGTCACAATTGAGTTTTAATTACTCAAATCAACGAGCAAAGTCAGAATTGCCGTTTATTTTTAAGTCATTGAAGTGAAATGTTGTATTTTAATAGGCTTCAGTTAAGAAGAAGGAACATCTTTACACTGATGCCACTGTGCCGGTCAACTGTGCATCTGAAATGAAGAAACGCCCACTTTCCATCTATGCATCCGCTAAAGGAAATGTCATGCAGAAAGCTAAGGTATACAGTTGCACAAACATCCATAAGTAAGATAAATGATACAAAACAAACTTACACTGTGTCCTTAAATCACACGATGCAACAAGATTCCAGAGAAAAGCAATTTGGCTTTCTCTTCTAGATGCGACACGACAGAAACATTTAAATACCAAAGAAATTTAGATTGCATTCTCACTGAAATGGACAAGTTTATAATATATTTAGTATACATTAAACCACTTTAACATGATTAAATGATGTACATGCTGAGTGACTGACATTGTTGCTTTGCACTTAAACTTTATGTTTGCTAGATATTTTATTTTCAAGATCTGTAATAAGCGATCTGCTTCCGCTATTCAGTATAGCAATAGATGTCAAATAAAATGGTATTCAAACTCGTACTGGTAACATTTACCACTGAATAAAGCACTTAATCAGTACCTGAGGTGATTGTTCAGGTGATTGTTCAGTGTTTCCCAACCATGTCCTTGGAGGCACACCAACAGTACATACTTTGGATATCTTCCTTATCTGACCCATTAACTTCAGGTTTTGAGTCTCATTTAATGTGCATTACTTGAAGTTAGGACACGATGTTTAAGATATGTCAATAATAATATGTATTTATTTTGTTCTTCTCATTTTTCTTCTCATATTTAGGAATGGGAGTCAAAGAAAGTGAAGTAATGGGCAGTGTCTGAGGATCAATGGCTTTGGTTTCAGTAAAAGTCTGTTGACGTTTTCAGGGGACAATTGAACGTTTGTTTGATGGTGGTCTGGATGTAAATAAAATTGAATGTTATATAAAAGATGCATGAAAATGATAAGGGAATGTTCAGGAAACAAAGTGTTTTATAAACATTTATTTGTTTGATATAAAAGTTAAAAAGAGTGTCCGACTTCTGTAAAAAAAAAAAAAATGTCATTTTTACTGCCACCGGATACTGATGTGGTTTTCCTGCTGATTTCTGTCAGTCCTCAGATACAGTGTTAATATTTGCATTTTAAAGATGTTCATTTTTAACACTAGGGCACTTAATTGAGCAGATTTTATTTATTTTGACTTTGTACATAAAAACTGTTTAAAGAACATAATCATTTTTCTACATTGCAGTTGTTGTTCTTTGCAATATCGATGTGATTGTTTGTATTAAGTATAAGTGTGCGTGTATGTGTGAATTTAAGTGTATGGGTGTTTCGAAGTACTGGGCTGTGGCTTGAAGGGCCGGAAAAATATCCTTGAATAGTTGGTGGTTCATTCTGCTGTGGTAGAATAAGCGACTAAGCCAAAGGAAAATTCATGAATGTATGAATGTTTGTAATAAATGTGTTTTCAAAAATGGCTTTGTGGAGCTCTGTATACTAATATTATCAAGCGTAATTGATAATTCTGACATATACACACTTAAGGTATTTAAGCCAACAGTTAAGATACATTCAAGCATGTAATTGTATAGAAACATTGCAAAAACGTTTTCTAATGCTTTAAAAGGAAGCATGATGATGATGATGATGATGAATTTAAAATAGGTGATTTAAAGTTTTGGGCGTCACGGTGGCGCAGTGGGTAGCACGATCGCCTCACAGCAAGAAGGTCACTGGTTTCAGCCTGGCTGGGTCAGTTGGAATTTGCATGTTCTTCCTGTATTCGAGTGGGTTTCCGCCAGTTTCCCCCACAGTCCAAAGACATATAGGTGAATTGATTAAGCTTAATTGGCCTAGTGTGTGTTTGTGTGTGAATGCAAGAATGTATAGGTGTTACCCAGTGTTTGGTTGTGGCTGGAATTAATTAATTAATTATTAAAAGCTGTGCAAAGGATTATTGGATAGAGGTAAAGTAGATTTTACAATCACACATTTGATCACACATTGTTTACTATGCTACTTTGTGTATTTGGTCTGAAATCACATGTAAGAATGATAGTAAAACAACATTAGCACTATTAAACTGACTTTGAACAATGCCATACTTTAATAGTCAATGGTTGCTAATAAGATTTCCCTATTTAGAATTTCAAAAGAAAACTTAAAAAAAAAATTTTAAGAAGCTGAAAGTCCAATTGTGTGAATATAAAACCAACCAAACCTCAATGACGGTTGACAGTAAATTTTTCCTATTTAGTTCTTATAGTAGTAGTGGGCACAATATTTACTTCACAAGACTATTATTGGTTTAATTTTGGAGACCGCCACTTGAAGATGATCCTTTTTCTTCAGTTGTGTATGATTTTTTAATCTTTTTAAAAAACATTTATTTTTCAGCTATGTGATGCAGTAAAGGTGTCAGAGTTTACCATAGTGCTGTAAATTCAGTCTGCTGCAAGTGATGCTATTGATATTAAAAATTACAATTAATGTTATTGATATATACAGTAAACACCCCATGGGTTGCAATCCAAAAGAAAAAAAGACTGATTTTTTTTGTGTGTGTGTGTGTGTGTGTGTGTGTGTGTGTGTGTGTGTGTGTGTGCGTGTGTGCGTGTGTGTGTGTGTGTGTGTGTGTGTGTGTGTGTGTGTTTATGTAAGTAGTATAACTTAATACTATATGCATTATCTTCTGTAGGTTATGGATAAAATATGGTAATTCTAATAGTTGAATAAAGTTTATTCTATTTTTTTTTAATCATCCCCAACCTATAAATGTAGTATACAGCTCCTAAAATGCAGTTCTAAAAACAAAAATAACCACTTACCATTGCAAAACAATGCTGCTCCACCACATTTTTGAAATGCCACACAGTCCTACCAGGCCTGTCCTCAAATAGACTGTTTTCTTTTTCTGAAAGCTATGAAATTAGCAACAAAGCGGTAGGTTTACATGAATCTAAAGAAGACCCTTTCTGCTACATTTTAATATAGTTAATTGTGACTTTTTTAAAGTTTACATCAATCTCAGACTAGCCTTTTTGCTAGTTAATAAAACTAAATTCTGATGCATATACTCGCAATTGCAAAAATAAAATCTGAGTTAGTTGGAAAAATGTCAGAGCTGGTAGAAACTCACACTTCTGACGCTTCTACCTGCAATTCTTTCTGTATAATTGTGAGATGTAAACTCACAAAAGCAAGTTACAAAGTTCCTTTCAAAAGTGGAATAACTTTCAAACAATTTGGGAGTTTATATTATTCAATACTGAGAAGAAAATAAGTTACAATTGCAAATTTCTCACAGTTCTGGCTTTCTAACACACTTGTAGTTTCATCTTGCTGTTCTTAATATCGCAGATTTATATCTTTAAAACTTTAGTACTTTTTGACTTTTTTCCTCATAACTGCAAAACATAAACTTGCTTTAAGTTTGTAATTTGCAAGTTTATGTTTTGCCATACTGAAAAAATAGTGAAAATTTATAATCTAGATCTATGGTGTCAGCTTGGGGTCCTCAGACCATTAAAAATTCATGAGGTTACTACAGGGGGTCCGTTCCATAAGACAAGTTAAATGTACTAAATAAATTATATGCTTTTATATTTATTTATCTTTTTGGTTTAATGCGTAATGTGATATCGACGCGTTTGTTAAAAAAATTACAGTCTACCAAACCTGCTACTTCATGTCAGGGGTCTCCGAGTTGCCTTGCCTGTGAATCTGGGTGGGTGGTCTTTGCCTTTGGGGCACGTGTACAAAAGGATTACAACCCCGTGAGGAAGATTGTTGTCCAGTACAATATTTAACCAGCCAAATACGGCACTTAAGAAAAAACCTACATCAGTTTAATTTTGTGCTTTTACAATAACAATTTTCTGATGTATTGTTTTATGCACAATCATTTAAAGTGAGATTCATTAGAGTCGCTTAGTGAGTCGATTCACTGATTCTGAACCATGACTCACCGAGCATGTCACGCGCTCCGACCACCCGTACAGATACTCGACTGAGGAAATGGCCGTGCGCTTTCTGTCCGCAACGAGAAGAAATCCGATCGATCTGTGCAGGTTAACACCAAGTGCGGTCACCAGGTAAAAAGACGTTTACCGAAAAACATTCATACAAGTGTGCGATTTATGTGAGGAAAATTAGGTTTTAGTTTATAGTGTCGTCATTTTGACCGTTTAAAGTGTTGCGGGGAAGCCCCGCTGCTAACAGGCTAACGAGCGAGTTAACGGTTTAGCCGGGACCACAGCTCACAACACGTAAACATACAACCAATATGAGTTAAATGCTTTACAAACGCCAAGATGTGTTAACAGCTAGTCACTTTGTGATTGAATGGTGTTTTTACGGTATTTGGCAAGAATTCGCGAGCACTCGCATCTGGCACATTGAAAAAAACTATACACGTTACGCTACATCTGTGTCTTTAAACGTTAACGTTACACGCTTTATCCTCCGCAGTCACAGGTTAATAAATATAACAACAACACTGTTATTATAATATACACTAAGGCACTGTCGGATGTTGTGGAAAACGTATTCTCTTTCCCCTGTTTACTGTAAAGAAGTGTTTGTTTGGTGTTTACTTTCACTCGGGTAATCCTCAATCCCACGGCTCATTTGCTTTCACAGATTTACGTTAACGTTACACGAATTAAACCTGTAATTACTCATGGTGATGAATGGCTTTTATTGCATACTTAATTTTCTTTGAGTCTTACTGATGCTAGCCGGTCATATGTTATCAGCCCTCCTATTGTTTAGGCATTTGCAGTCACGTCTGATCCTTTGGATCAAATTCAACCTACATTAAACATTATTACTGATGTAAGAATTTATTACATTGGTTATATGGCGTGTTTTATGTAGCTTGCTCGTTTTTTGTTATTTAATTGTTTTTAAAAACATTATGCAAAATCTTTGTGTATTTATACAAACCAAAGTGGAAACCCACACTTGAAAATATTGATTAATTGTGGGCATTTTTCGTCTCTCTTTATAGTTAAATATAGTACTTGTTATTTAACATGATTGTGGCCATAGTTTACCTAAAACACTGGAACAAAATTAGAATTGTCTATTTTTTAACAAATTTACTTACTTTTGATCTGAAAGAGAAAAATTATATTTTCTGAAAACGGACAAAATATTTTCAAATTAGTGAATTGCACTCTTCAAATGCGCCAAGTCCTCAAAATATACATAATTAACTTGATCAAGTGTTTGTAAATGCTATAATTTCTAAAATCTTTGTATATGGAGCAGGTTTAGTTGATTTGGTGGGGAAAATATATATATACATTTTGAGTAATATTTATGTGGAAAAACTTTTATACATTTAGATTTTTTCCCCATATCTAACACCTCTTAAAGACTGGATTTATACCTGTAAAATCTATTTTGCTTGAAAGCATTGCAGATTATTATATGTTGTTTAGGACTAGTAGCCTAGATTTCATAAATTTAGTTTTTTACTATTTAATTGCATTGTGATTCAATAGTGACATTGAATTTCAAACAAAAAAAGCATATGTACATTTAAGAAATATTGTTGATAATTGTTAAAATAACAATACTCTTCATCCAAACTGACCTAGATTGCAAAATCACATATATTTTGAGTATATTATTACTTTTTTTAGTGTTAATTTGTGGTTATTTTTTCTTTTTTAAAGTAGTATATCTTAGAGCTGGGCTAATATACGATATTACATCGAATTGCGATTAAGAAAATTGTCTATGACAATGATAAGAGCACAGCTGATATGATCTAAGAACCAATTACACAGCAGAATCGTGCAACGATGGGAATCTAAAAATGTGTAGAGATGCATAGAATTCTTAGCCATCGAAGATTTATCGGCCGAGAATATGTTAGGGCGTTTAACAGACCCTCCAATTTTTGTGGCTTCAGTCACTGTTAGGATACTCTTTTAAATCTGGAAGCATTAGCAACTTCTATCGAAATATATGTTGTTATCGCTCAATATGGAAAATAATTATCGAGATTGCATTTTTGCCATATTGCTCAGTCTTAGTATATTTGTTCTATTAAGTAACAGTTGTGTGGATGTGAATAAAATGTACAATAACCATATCTATTTTTTCCTGAAATAATGTGTATTATTACAGTCAATGTAAATCAAAGATTCCTTTTAATTGCTACTGTAAATACTTTGGAGTCAGACAACTCATTAAACAACAACTATATATATTACACAACAACTATATATTGTAGTTGTTGTTTATTGACATTTTCTTTGTCAAATACGCTCTATAGTTGTTGTTGTTTTTTTTGCAGAAACCTGAGTAGCTCAGTCTTTGTATTAAAATAGGCATTCTTGTAGAATATATAGGTAATGTGTAACGTTATACTACATGTGAAAGGAGTGAGTGTTTAGCAGCTGTTCTCTTGTTTCATGGCTTCAGGTCTGCCGTAGGCCTCTTTAGCACTGCGGCAGAGCAGCGTAGTGCTGGTGACGACTGCCATGGTGAAGACAGAGATGACGACCACAGTCATGCCGTCACACACGTCCGGACCCTTGAGATGAGAGCCAGAAAACTGGAGGAGCAGGTTCACGACCTCACCGTAAGTTCACACAATTTTTTTTTACTTCAGCTGAGTCAACTCTGTCACTCTTTAATCTGTTGTAGGGTACTCTTTGGAAAAACCGTGGAGTGTTACTGGGATTATTAAAAAAAACATATTGTAATCAATGTCAATGAAGTTACCATGTAGGGTTCTTCACCCTAAAATGATCAACTACTACATAACTACAATCAGTGTAACTCGGAATGTCAAAGGTTTGGACAAAGTTTGGATAAATAAATAAAAATATTGGGGCAAAATACTTGTTTGCACTCAATGTCAAAGTCCTTTAAACTTCATAACTACTCATTAAACTTATTGTGACAAAGATATATTATTATTGTTCACAGTATTATTATTAATAATAATAGTTTAACTTAGTTTTTTTTACGTAATAAGTACACAGTTTTCAATCTCAATGATAATCTATGTAACCGTAATTTACCATTTGAACAGAGCTCATTTCAGTTAGCTGTAAATGTTTTGATTAAGATTTCTAAAATTTTTCTTTTTTTTACTATAAATATGGAGTCAAGACACATTAAAAACACAGAATCTAAACAAAAATGGAATTAGATTTTTTATTAACCTTAGCTGTGAATGTTATATTATTATATTTTATTATTTAGGTTTAAATTTAGGTTTTTAATTTAATAATTTAATTATCAATCCAAATTTGCACATTTTCTGGATGTTTTGCTTTCTTGACATTAATTCAATTATAAAAGTAGCTTTGCAGTTTAAATTTTAATAAAAAAACATCTTATATTCTTATATTTAATCTTAAATAGATTTTATTAAACATGTATATTAGGCCTTTACAATATCTGAAAAATCTCTGATATTTTGTAATTCTGCGATATTTATTTTGATAATATTTAGAACAAAAGGTTAAATTTGATTTTGAATACCATTTCACCAGATGACTTTTTTTTATCTTTATTTAGAAAGAATTAGTAATTTTAGACTGAATAAAATATATTTATAATAAAATATAAATATATTTTTAGTTCTGAATAAAATATAACAAACCATCTAAAAGCATAGATCAATACAATAAAAAAGCTACAATTTAAATAACGTTTTATCATTTTCCAGAGTCTAACAGTATTTAGGTTCAGTAATTGTCAAATTATTAAAACAGTAAAATTGATCATTAATAAAGTGACAAACGGTACAATTTATCATCCATGAATGCTTTTAAAATCATAATGTAGTCACAGGCCTCAAAAAAACACATGAAAATGATACATTCTATATTCTGCAATGTAACTGTTGCGAATGATTATCGATGCTGAAACGATATATTGTGCAGCCCTAATGTATATAGTTCTATAACTGTTTCAACTGTGGGAGTATTGTTTTATCTAATTTGGCATGAATCTAAATTTGCTTGCTTGACATTTAATTAAATAAGTAGTACAAACTGCTATATTCATACGATTCCCACCAAATAATAAGCAAATCAGAATTTATCTGCTTGTTGAGTGTGACGTCACATGTGGCTTCCAGGTCCAATTGCTCTATTAGACTGAATGAGGAGACTCAACAAATGGTAATGATAAGCGTTTGCAAAGTGATGTCATGCTTTCAAAAACCACAATTGCAATATATACATCCATGCCTAATATCAAATGGCCAGAAAGTGATTCATTTTTTATAAATTGTTCAAATATAGGTGACTGTGATGCAGCAAGTCCAGAGATTGTTGCTTATAAAAATCATTTTAATGTGTGATATGACTTAAAATTGGGCACAAATTAATATTTAACAAGTGAATATTGGTCTTCACTTTTAATATTGTATCTAAATGTTTAATTGTTGTTTCTAATTTAGTTTTTGTCAATTGTTAATTATCTGTGCTTTTTACAGGAGCGATACAAGCGAGCCGTTGCAGACTCAGACAATGTTAGAAGAAGAACACAGAAATTTGTAGAGGACGCCAAATTGTTTGGTAATAACTAACTATACACTTAATGCACGCATACCTTGGTGTCTCGTAAATCTCTCAGTTCCACATTAAGCATAATTGTCCTCCTGCAGGGATTCAGAGTTTCTGCCGTGACCTGGTAGAAGTGGCAGACCTTCTGGAGAAGAACTTGACGGTTGAGGAGAGCGATGGAGCACAGCAGCTGGCACAATACCTGGCACACATTCAAGAGCGGCTGCAGGACATCTTCACCAAGCACGGACTGGAGAAGATGACCCCTGTGGGAACCACATATGACCCCTATCAGCACGAAATCGTCTGCCATACTCCAGCCGAGGGAGCGGAGCCTGGAACCATCGCCATGGTCAAGCAAGACGGTTACATGCTTCACGGACGCACCATTCGCCATGCCCTCGTGGGTATCGCTGTCAAAACTCAAGAGCGGTGACAGGACTTTTGTTCACTTCTTGTCCCGCTAATGTTTTTGTACACTCATAGTTTGTACGATGCTATTGTTCTTACATCTCTAGACGACTACATGTTTGACTTACTCTTTGAAGTAATGGTTATTTATATGTATTTATAAATGTTTTGTTGTTGTTGTAAGCTTCTACACCAGTTTTTGTTTTGAACCCCATATTTACACAATGTCCAGTGCCCATTTAATGTCTGGAAAGGTTGTTTTTTTGTGTGTTGCAGTGTTAAATTGACCCGGGAAATGCACTTTACGCCTTTATTATAGTGGATTCTGTATGTGATACTAGTTTAGAGGGAAAAGCAGCATATGAGATTGGTGAGAATATTAGTAAACACTACAGTTTGATGATGTGTGTTTAACAACAGTTGAGGATTTGGTTATGAATTAACAATGAACAATCATGTTTAAGGCGTTTGTTCATCATGGTAATGTTTAGTAGATGTATATCTAATTAGTTCATTGTCCATGATATTGGTAAATGCTGTAAACCTTTAGCAAACGTTTAGTTCATGGTCACTAATGTTAATGCATATAGCATTATTGTAACCTTTCCAGAAAGTTGTTGAATGTGTAAAGTGTTGAAGGCCACCAGTATCCAAAACAAAAGACAAACGTTTTCTCTTTTGGACGGGAGAAATGCACATTATAAATAGATATGCATCCAAAGTGCAAATGAGCTTCGTGCTATTTGGGAGATAAAGTGAACATAAAAAATATTTATGTATTTATTCTGTTTGAAATAGTTTGCCCTGATAGTTTACATATTTTTTGTAGCTTAGAAGAAGAACTGAAACTGTAATCTATTTACATTTTCATTTAAGCTGAGTTTTTACTCATGCAATTTTTTTTTGTAAATGATGGAAACTCTTTAGTTTTGAGTGGATGTGTGAGGCTGATGACTGAATAAAAGTCTTTTCTTTTCGTTTGTTCATTTTGTGCACTAGGGGTCAGTGTTTTTAAAACAAATCAAAAACACGACATTCTAGATGTAGATACATAGATGCCTCTTTTAGATTCTGCCATGTAACGAGCAAAATATTCGAGAAGTTGACACAAGCAAGTGTGAATATATCTACAATAGATATCAATGTATTTTTAGCCACACGAATGCATTAGTTGATGTGTATAATAAAAAAGTAATCTTTCACAATAACATATACATTCTTGAAAAGTAAACACGTTTAACTAGTTTTTCTAAATGACTTTAGATTGTAAAAAGATTTCCCCCCAATACTGCTAATAAAACCATGAATTAAGATGCCATTATAAAAATACCTACATTTTTCCTTCTAAATGTCTAGTTTCTTTATAAATTAAAATGAAGTGGTAAGTGCAAGCTAAATTTACCGTTGGCGGACGGAGTCTGGAGCGGTTCCTAGCTCAGATACGGTTGCGGCCGGAAATTAACAGGAATCATTTATATTGTTTATTAAGTTTCCTATTTATTGTATTTTATTAGCGTCTACCTAAAGCCAGCTTATACAGTGATGTAAAAACGGCCGATTTGCCGCATTTGTTATTTATTATAAATAAATAAATGGTATTTCATTAACGTCTACCCCTAAACTCAACCGTCACAATACTGTAAAATATTATTGTTATACAGTGTTATACAATATATTAAAAATATTATATTAATAATAAAATATTGTTATACAAAAATGATCCGCAGCTGTATCTAGACTTCACCGTCGAGAGCGGCATCTATGTATTATTCGACTCTATGGAGGAAATACTGCAGTGTTCGAAAAACACCGGAAATACGTTTATAGTCATCGCACGTGTGTTGTGCCTTGCATCCTGTGCCTGCAACACTATCAGCCTTAAGTTAATCGCTAAAGTATATTTGTGTACATTTTAACGAAAGATGACAAAGGTAAAGAAGGAGAAAGCCGGGGAAGAGGAAACCGGAGGGACGGAAAAATCATATCAAGAGTTGATTGCTAATATTAACCCAATCGCAAACCCGCTAGCATCGCGAAAACTTAGCAAAAAGCTCTACAAATGCGTCAAGAAAGGTAAATACGTGTTCAGAACTTGTTTTTAACATTCATAAAGAGTAACGTTATTGCCTGCGAGTGTGAATGAAAATATACTAAATATCGCTGTCTGTAGGTTTAGTATGTTGCAGACACGTGGTTGCAGTCATTTGTTCATTGGTTATGAGTGTTATTCATTATTATATTTATATTTTCTTAGCGGCTAAAGTTAAACAGATCCGACGAGGAGTCAAAGAAGTACAGAAGTTTATCAACAAAGGAGAGACTGGGTAAGATTAAGGTTTTTTCAGGTATTTGTTAAGGCCATTGGTTGATCAGTCCAGGGTTTAACCCATATTAGCCTTTTAAAAAGTTCATTCTAGTTTCAAATTGACTACACTACTAGACAAAAAATAATACTAATTTTTAATTTAACACGAAGAAATGCACAACATTCACAAAACTATTTGAGCTCGTGATGTTGTATTTGGTTCAGTTTGGACGCAGTATGATCATCTTAAAGGGATGGTTCAACCAAAAATTATTTTATTTCTTCATAATTTACTCACTTTTTATTTTGTTCCAAACCAGTTTAACTTAATTTTTTCGTTTGAATAAATATATTTTGACTTCCATTGCATTTGTTTTTCTTACTATGGTAGTCAATGTTTTCAGCTTGTTACAAAATATCTTTTGTGTTCAACAGAAGAAATACACTTGAGGGAGAATAAAGAGTGTGTAATTACTTTTTTCCCCTGTGATTTATCCCTTTATAGTGTATATATATCTTTAACTTATGGTTATAGTATATGAAAGCTATATTAGTTTTAGAAAACCAGCAGTAAATTTTTATTTAAATTATTTTAAAAAATATCCTTGAATCTGTTGAAACTTTAGACCATTTTGAGGGACGTAAACAATAACAATGGTCCCAATTAGGCATGGGTGGTTTAGAATTCTGATGCTATGATAACCTTAGATCAGTGGTTCTCAAACTGTGGTACGTGTACCACTAGTGGTACGCAGGCTTCCTTCTAGTGGTACGCGGATGAATCAAATATGTAATATGTACATGCTACATATATTTAAAGAAATTATCAAAAATGATTTATATACGAATATGATGACATAAAGCCTATATTTATGAGGTCTAGGCAACTTTTCCAGGTGCTAACAAACCAGGAGTTATTTCTTTTTTTAAACTGTACAGAGCTTAAGCTGCTTTACTAGACCTAATACGCTACTGTATTTCAAAACTGCTTTTTATGGTGGTACTTGCAAAGACAATTTTTTTCCGAGGTGGTACTTGATGAAAAACATTTGAGAACCACTGCCTTAGATAGAAATATCACAGTTTTGTGATCACAACTCTAAAATATTTTCTTTTAAATGTCTATAAAAAAAAAAAAACACGTTCTTCTGCTGCCTTCAAAAACACAAATTTCTCTACAATTTAAAACGACATATTTGGATATCTTCTCTGCTGAAGATGTTGGCCTAAAAAAGCGTAAATAAAAAAATCTTACACATACCTTAGGAATGAAATAGATGAAAATTTTGAATGTTTTAAAACCTGGACTTTTCCCAAACCGCGGTAAACCTTGAAAACAGTTGTCATCCCATGCCTAGTCCCAATGTATTTTCTGTTTGACCTGTTTTCATTTCTATAGCTTCTGAGAATCCAAAAAGGTCAACATATTGATAAACAATGTTATAGTAGCTGTTTTAACATCGAGTTATAGTTAAATTCCCTCTTTTAACAGTTATGATATAGTCTACCCATGAATAATTTCTGCATGAAGAAATTACTTCAGTATTTTGTTTGTAAAATGTAATATCGTTTAATTAAGAAATTGTTACCATTTATATAGATTATATGCACTTATAAATTTAATTATATTATGTATTTAAAAATATTTTCAACTATGAAATTTAATAATAGCTTTCGTCTTTGTGAATTTTTATATTTGAAAAATTTTCTCAAGTTTTATGTATTAAAATGGGTAAGTGTGTTAACATGGAACTTGTATGGTAACATTCAAATTGTTTTGATTTTTTTGTCATTGATCAAAGTTTGCTGATCAGACACAATATGGCTTCAGTCAGACAAAGTTATTATGAGTTATGACTTGAGATCAAGCAGGCCTGAAATCTGAAAATCAAGTCAGAGTTATTAGCCGCCCTTTATATTATATATTAGATTTTTATTTATTTATTTGTTCTTCATTTTTTAAATCCTGTCTAAATTAATATTATTAATTCTTAATTAATATTATTTCTTCTAGAGAAAGTCTTATTTGTTTTATTTCGGCTATGATAAAAGCAGTTTTTAATTTTTTAAACACCATTTTAAGGACAAAATTATAAGCCCCTTTAAGCTGTTTATTTTTTCGATAGTCTACAGAACAAACCAGGACTCATACAGTCATAGAAACCCTGAAAAGTCATGGAATTTTGACATGGCATTTTCCAGGCCTGGAAAAGTTTTGGAAAAACAGAAAAACCCACAAAGTTTTGGAAGAATCATGGAAAGTAGTTTAACAAATACCTGTGTACTTGAATTAGTAATGAATAATGAATCTTGAATAATATATAACAAATTAATTTCATGCATAGATAAATAAAATATAATAAAGATTAAAGCAAATGATAGTTTTCAGGTATTCACTATTCTTAAACTATTCTTAAACAGGGCGAATAATTCTGACTTTAACTGATTGCGTTATGTATGCTTTATCAGGATTAAAAAAAAATTTTTTATGAATTGAACTTAAAGGGTCACGAAACACCAAAACACATTTTTTGAGCTGTTGAGAGTCGTATATGTGTCCCACACTGCTAAAAACACTATTAGGACACCTATATTTCACTAAAAAGTGTAAATTGGTTGTTTTTGCATTATTTCAAGCAAATTTGTACTTCCTGTTTGAAATGAATTTTTGAAGCTGCGTCACGGTCATGACATAATAGCGTGTATTCCAGCGTGCAGACTGGGCGTCTGTGCCTGAGTGAGTCTTATTACGTCTTACAGTGTGATACATTAATGCATGAGTAAGGCTTGGTTCAAACCAATCAGCGCGCTCTATTGTGGAACTTCATTAATATTCATTAGTGTCACCGTGTTTACGCCACAAAGACGCCACGTTGTGTTGGCAAAACAAGCGTGAAGTGTTGCTTTTATAGTTTGCTGCCGTTAAGTTTCGTTTTCATTTTCTCTCTGTGAGAGCACAGTCTCACGTGTGGATTAACAGTGTACGCGACGCTCGACAACAATAACTTACGTGTCTGAGGATTATTGTTTACCTGAGAGCTGTTCTCATCTGCAAACGCTGAAATCTGAATTCGCTTGTAGTATTCTCTCCATAAAGATGCGGCTCTAGTTGCTGGTGATTGTCCTGTCTCTACAGATTTGGTAAGTGAGCGACCAGTGCTCTTTGTTTATTCAGTTTTTTCGTATCGAATTAAGTTACTATTGCACTGAGTGCAGATATGTAAGCACCGCATTTTGTGACCGGAATAACACACGCGGCTTTCTGATGCTACCTGCCGTGTGCATCTAAGTTTCCGGGAAATGCAGAGTTTTTTTTCTCTCTCATTCGCCGTGCGGTATCAAACATTGCATAAAAAAAACACGCTTGCAGCAGTTCCTTAAATCAAATATCTCGTTTGTCGCGAGAGGCATGAATGAATTCCCTGAATGAAAGAGCCAAACTGCAGTTAAAGTCCAACTTTTAATAATTTGGCAAATAATTCGACTACAGATGTCCATGTAAACACAGTCACATTGTCCGCTGTGGGTGTGTATTTTGACTCTGAAACTCGCGCGTGCACAAATAGACACTCCCACACCATCCCACTTTAGTTCCTCCGACACTCCCCCCTAAACAGAGCTGGACACGCCCACTTTTCAGACTTTTTCCAAAGTGGAGGTGTGAAAACACCCTGCTGAAAC